TAAATTATAAATTATTTGAACTGAACACTTCAGCGATTCTTTTGCTTCTTTCTTTATGTTTGTTGCTGAACTGCAAAACTCCAATCCTGTTAATTACACTTTTTATCTTGGAATGGCAAGTATTAGATGTCTACTCATTAAACTGCCCAAGGAAAAGACCACTCAAATCAACAAATGTTTCCAAATGTGCGGTTTCAGCATGTACTTGCAGGTAACCGTGCGCTGCTTATCTAAAAACTCCAAAAAATTTACTATAAATATGTTTATCAATATCTTGGTTTCAAATAAAAAGGTTTAAGAATACAGCGATTACCTCTCTGCAACAGTCTTGCCCAACTTTATAATTTGTGTAAAACTTTCAATTAAAATTGATTAGTTTTGGTCAAGTTTATAGCCAAAGACCCCATGAACAATCTTATTAAACTTTCTCATTGTTTCCAAGAGAGGTTACTGTTTAACAGGTATTATCAACTCAAGTTTGTCGCAACTTTCAAGTATACCTCTATACCTTCAAATGCTCCTCCATGGTAAACTTTTCAAAGGAATTCAATGCTCTTGACCTAATCTATAAATCCAGACCAAAGCTGCATTATAAATTCTGCCAAATGGTTAACAAATCCTATCAGAAGGTGAAGTTCTGGTAATAGAACTTCTCTTATTATACTTAGGGATTTGTCTTCTATCTTGAGCAGACAGGGATTAATAACATTCTTAATATATGGAAATGATAATTTTTTATCCTTTTAAAAATGATAATTTTCGTGATGAATGAAATATTTTGAAAATATTTACAATATACTTATTTATTTATACCTTATATTCCATCATTTTTTTCACTGGAGATCCTGCAGACAAATATAGTTCATAGTAATCATTCAAAGATTGAAATGTACTCAACTCTCCAGAAAAAAGCTCAGATGAACCTTCACACTATGCACATGCATACTTTTCTCTATGAGCCTACAGTTTTATATAATAGTTTAATTAATAAATATATTTTTGGGTAAAAAAAAACCTTTTCCTAATATGTGTTTACGTCATATGTCTAATTATCTTGAAATGATTTAAAAACAACATACTGAAATTCCTAGCAATATGTTGATTAACTTCATGTCAGAAGCCAATGAGTACTTGCATTCATGCAACTTCAATCTTTCCACTACCCTAGTCATGTTAGAATGATTCTCACTCACCTTTCACAATAAGCTAAAACAAGTGACGTATTTACCCCTGAGTATATTGTTTTATTGTTGTTTTAATCAACAAAACAACTTGGCAGTATTCTTTTATTGTTGTTTTATATAGTTTTTTACAATAAATATATATTACGCTTTAAAAATAAAATGTTTTATAGTCAGCATAAACGAGTTTTTAAATATTTTTTAATAACTGTTTTATATTATATAATAAATTATAATAAATTTTTTTATAACTGTTTAAAGTGGATAAACTATTGCAATATTTGTGTTTTTGCTTCTACTTGTTTAAGTATCATGTTAAGTAAAAACAATTACTAAAAGTAATACTGTAATACGTTACTTGCATATTACATTATAACTAAAACTATAAAATTAATAAGCCTACACCTCCCATTTAACATAAGAAGATAATAATATAACACAGTAATAAAACAAGCTACCAAGTATTTAGCATTAATGGTTAACTCAAAGCCATGATAAAGTATTATTATTTCCTACCATTTACTAAAACTTATTGAAATTGATGACTAAAGAACAAGAATATAACAGAGTACATTGTAAACTGGGTCAGGGAATTCAGATATCTACAAAATAATCAGGGAAATTTAACTTAGTGTTAAACTTTGTAAAAGTCATGGAAAATGATTTTATTGCAAACTGACATGACCTATGTTATTTGTATACCATCCATATGTGTATAAATATTGATTAATTTGAAACCCATAGCTAAATTTTTTAAAATTAATCCAGTCTAATTATAGTAATTAACCAATTGAACATTTAACAACTACAAACCTAACTGGCTTACAAAACCTAACTGGCTTACAAAAAACAGTGAACTACTTCATTCACAACGACACTTCACACTTCAAAAACAGTGACACTTCACACAGTGAAAAACTAGTTCACTCATTTTATCGAGTAAAGAGAGGGTTGTAAACACAATTATAGTAGCCTCCTCGATAGTAAGTGACCAGGGCCCTGGCTAAAAATGAGACTTTTTGCAAACCTAACCCTGGGCCCTGCAAAATCATAAGATTTAGCAGAGGTTGATAGCCAGGGCTAGAAATAAATCTATAATTCTTTATATATTATAATTTTATACTTACATTTACTATTTATTAAATTTTGGCATATATTTATACCAGTATTAAATAAATAGGGACAGATACAGTAAAAGGATGCAACTTGTTGAATAAGAAGCCAAGAATGAATTTTGGTTTATTGTAATATAGATGATAGCTCATTTAAGCATTGACCATGATTAGAGAAACAGCATAAAAGAGAAAGACTAAAGCCTGCTGCTGCTGCTGTTGATGATGATGACAATAATAATGATGATTATGATAATGATGATCTTGATCGTAATGATCACGATGATGATGATTATATTGATCATAATGATGTTTATAAATGCATATATATACAAAATCAAACATAAATTTTGAAAAAAAAAAACGTAAAAAAATAATATCAACCCTGATTGTTTACTACTCCTTGACTGTAGTTGCCTTCTCGGCCTTGGAAAGTGAATTAACATTAAAAAAACGTAATAAAAATTTTATTTTTATTAAGTTCTTTCTTAATAATTTTTATATAAAATTATTTCTTTATAATTCTTATATAAAGTGTTGTTAAATTTATTAACAAATTTAGTTTCAAACCCAGTTTTTATTAAAAAAAAAACTGTGGAAAGTTGTAAGTCTAATATTAAACTTAGAACCAGAAACATGACAGCATAAAGTTGTGAGCCGAAATCACAATTTAGGTAGTAAGGTATTTTATAACTTGTACTATTTTACATTTATTCATAGTTTTACCTTTAGCATTTAATTCATTTCGTTGTGCCTCTAATCGTCTTAAATTTTTCACTTTATCTGCAACTTCCATCTAAAATTATTTAGATATAAAAACACATTAAAAAAAAATTCCATATATATATATATACATATATATATACATATATATATATATATATATATATAAAAATATTAAATAAAACACTTTTTAATAAATTTTATAAAATTTGTTCATTTAATAAACAAAACAATTAGTTTTAAGTCATTTTTTACTTAATTTAAATGCGTTTTGCGTAACTCTAAGCCTTATCAAACATTTTTTATTAACGTTAAATGTTTAAAAAGATAAGTTTTAATAAAATATATTTAAATGCAATTAAAAACGTAAAAAAAGTTTCGCTTCGAGTTTAAGTTTTTATTTTTATTTTAGTGCTTATATATTTTCTTTTTTGTAAGGAGTTATTTTTTATTATTATTTAGTTTAAATATTTATATTTAAATATTTAAAACAAATATTTATAGCAAATAATCTAGTTATTTACTATAAATAATTGTGTTCTGTCAAAGAAAAGTTTCTAGATATTGGTTTACTGACTCTAATTATTTTCGCTTAAGTTGCCATTCTTAAAACTCATTATGCTTTTTTCTGCTTTGAATACTAATTAAAATTAAAAAGCCCACTCACTAAACATCATCAGCAATATTGTGAAGCAGTTTCGCTTCCTCGTCATTAAGTATTTTTAACCTTTTTAGTTGATTTCTATTTTGTTAATTTAATTTCTATAGTAATTCAATGATTTAACTATTTCATTTGTTTATCTTATTTAGAAGAATTGCTTCAAATATGTTAAATTTTTCAAACTACGCGAAACATAAAATAGGTATTAAATAAATAAACTTTTTCATTTATAAAATAATTTAGCTTAAATAAAACTAAAACTTGCAAACTTTGTTAATAAAGAATATTTGTTTCCTTTTTAAACAATCGTAAGTTGTTACTTTATATAAAAAACATCTTAATTTTATAAAAAAATTATAAAAGAGCGATGTTTCGAAAATATTTGTTCTAAACGTAATTTATTTAGCTTTAATTTTTTTTTTTTTTGTAATTGTCTCTCATCGGTCCAATTAATCGCTTTTTTTTTTTTGCTTTTAAAAATGTTCTCAAAACAACTAGAAAATCTGGCCAGCTTTTTGCAACTAAATATTATTTACGTGGTCAGCAATCGAGAGCGATCGCTCCCGCTTCCCGACCAAGCCTGATATGCATAAGAAATCTACCAGTCCCGCACGGGATCCACACATAAATTAAAAAATCTGCGCGGATCCTGTGGGATTGAAAAGTGTGCGGGATTCCAATCTGTATATATTTTTATTTCTTATATATTTTCTATAGAAGCTTTAAATATTTTCTATAGAAGATAAAAAAAAATTTTCAAAGTAAAATGTATGAGATAAAAAATATATATATATATACTTGTGCCTCTTCAATTTTTGTTTGATAGTACATTTGCAGTCCTTCATGAGATTTGCTTTCATCCTCAACTTCCATCTAAATTTAACATTAGACATTAGAATATTTAATAAAATGATGACTTTATATATATATATATATATATATATATATATATATATATATATATATATATATATATATATATATATATATATATATATATATATATATATATATATATATATATATACATATATATATATATATATATATATATATATATATATATATATATATATACATACATACATATATATATATATATATATATATATATATATATATATATATATATATATATATATATGGCCTAAGTGTGTGTGTGTGTGTGTGTGTGTGTGTGTGTGTGTGTGTGTGTGTGTGTGTGTGTGTGTGTGTGTGTGTGTGTGTGTGTGTGTATTATGCAACAACACCTGGTAGTTAAAGAAATATGACTCTGAGTTTCAGGCTTATGGAGATCATCGATGTTACAAATAATCTTAACGATAAAAAAAATTACAAAAATACTATGCAGTATCTGCTTTGATGACATTAAAGTTGTTTATAAAAAATTTGGTTTTATGGCGACATTTTTTTTCAATTTCAATGTTATTATGTGGTACCTTTCAGTTAAGCAAAGGATGCATAATTTAAAATACGCTTTAAATAGGCTTCATTAATGTAAGTATAAATTTACATAAGTATAAATAATATAGCATCCAGAATTGCATTTCTACATATTGACAAAAATCTAGTTTTTAAAAACTATTTTTTTCTAGAAAAAAATAGTTTTTAGGTCTGCATTTGTTATACTGAAATTCAATTAATTCTCAAACTTTTATTTCAAATTTTTTAAGTTCTATTTGCAACGTTTTTACTTGCTCCCATTATATATTACATAGACATTTTTTTTATAATGCCCAATTGCAGATTGGTCCTATTTTTTTTCTAATACATTTTTTTGGTGTTATTTTGTTCTTGTTGGCAAAGACTTATGATTTGCACTAAATTTAAAAACTGTCTTGTAACCTGCTTTTCTAAAAAAATTTCAAAGTATTGGTGATAATATTGGGATCTACACTAGTGATCCAAATTTTAACACCAAAGTTTGGTAAAAGTTGGTCAGATAAGACTATTTTATTACTTGAGTGTCATTTTATTATAACAATATTTGCAAGGTTTAGTGATTGATTTTTTTTGTATTCATTTTCAGCAAACACATCTATTAGAAAATCGATTTCTTTATTTACAAATTTTTCAGAGCAAATTGAAAAAGCTCTATGGATAAATCTCTAAAATATTTCTTCTAAAATTTTTGGATCGTGGTTTGAATTGTGCTTAACCTGAATATTTTTTATTACTTCTTTTTGATGTGTGTTAAAATCTTAATTACCTTTTTGATTGTTGGTTATTTGGATATCTAAAAATTTAATCTTTTCACAATTTTAGTAAATAAAGATTAACCAATTATAAATATAAATAAGTTGAGTTTTTTTTTAATTTTTTTCCTTACCAGAAGATTATATTATACAGCACAAATTAGCTAATTGTGATATGAAATTATTGCAAAATCTATATAAAAGAAAAGAATCTCAGATTTAAGCAAAATAAAAATTCAAGTAAAAAAGAAATCTGGAAAATATATGAAAAAAAATCTGATAAAGAATTTTATCAGATTTTTTTTGAAAGAAAAACAAAAAAACAAAGGGTCCTCAAATACACAAAGAATCATCATAGTATAAAATTGTATTTTTTTTTTTATAAAATGTTTAAAAGGTATCAGAATAAAAAATTCATAGGTTTAAACTGTTGTGCTTAAAACAAGACAAAGCTGTATATGAAGCTTAACTGTAAAAGTTATTAACTACCATTTTGGTATTTTGGTGAGATGCTAAATTTAGAGATTAAAAAAAATTAAAATACAAATGAAGCCAAATAATTACTTTTTAGTATGCAGCTCTGGGAATAAGGAAAAATAAAGTCAAAAAGCTTTTAAGGTTCGATAAAATGACAAATAGGCAAAATTTGAGCATAGCAATCTACAGAAAAACAAACACAGAGTTTGCCAAATTTTCTTTCAAACATCAACATTTGCTAAAAAATTTAATAAATGAATGAAAATTTTGCCAATTTTATTTTGATTTATTTTAAACCATTTATTATAATTGATTTCTTTGCAATTTAAACAAAAGGTTTTTATTTATTATTTAAATAGAACATTCATTTTGTTGTTCATTTAAAAATATTATCTAGGGATTTAAATTACTTTTTCACTTTTACATTTTTTTGTAATGTATTATTTAATTTAGAATGACTGTTTTTTTGTTTTAACTTTAATTATTTTATTTAGAATTTAATTAAAACGTTCATTTTGGTATTTTTAAAATAATTTGTTTAGAATTCAAGTAAAACGTTCATTTTGAAGTTTCAAATGTATTTGAAATTTACATTAGAATAGACATATTAAATTCAACTTAACCAAAATGAAAATAAACATAAGTAGGTATGCATAAATCCGGCTTTTAGGGCAAATTTATGTGCTACGCTTTTTGAAGATAATTTAAGACTGGCCAGTATTAAAAAATCTTCAAAAACCATTAACATGTCTTTCTGTGCAATTTTTAGAAATTTGTATCAACATACATAACAGTTTAATTTTCATTTTACATGGTTTTTATTTTAATTTTTCATCTTTTTGATATCGAAATCTCTGTTTTACTTACTGCATCAAGTTTATATTTAAGAAAAGCTGTGCCATTTTTTTTTATCAATTCTCCCATCTTCAAAAACCTTCTTTTTACAACTTGCAAAGTTCATTAACAAAAAACTTTGCCTTGATACCTAACAAACTTGCCCAAAATACATAACGTCAACTTTAACAATGCAATAACCCAGGTGGAGTAAGGGTTTAATATTTGTTACTTTTACCAATCCAACTTCAAGTATCTCCATCATATATGATGTCAGTTTAGTAGAATTTTTAAAAATGTGCAAGTAAAAATTATAATGTATAAATGTAACAGAGGGTTTTTAATACACCTTTTATATATTCCACTCTTTCTATATATTCCACTTCCAGCCCACTCCTTTTCTTGATATTCATAAACGATTTACCAAGCAGACTTCTTAATAAATGTTGTTTGTATGCCGATGACAATAAAATAATCGCTCCTATTTATAACGAGGTTGATTCAAAATCATTTCAAAATGACATAAAAAAACTTGAAGATTGGTCTGTTGAATGGCAACTGGGTTTGAATTTTAAGAATTGTAAAATAATGCACTTTGGTGCAAGTAATAAAAGACATTCTTATTTCATGAAAAATGATGACGAACTAAAAGAAACTGAAAAATCTACTCTTGAAAAAGACAAGTAAGAAATTCTGCCAGTAAAGCAAACAATATGCTTGCAATATTAAATAACACTTTTAGATATAAAGATAAGTACCTTATGAAAATGCTTTATTGCACGTATGTTAGACCTCATTTAGAGTTTGCGATTCAAGCTTGGAATCCCTATTATAAAAAAGATATCTAAGAACTTGAAAAAGTTCTAAGAAGAGCAACTAAATTGATACCAGAGCTAAAACATCTGAGATATAATCAAAGACTAAAAATATTAGATTTAACAACTTTAGAAATTCAAAGACTAAGAGGTGACCTTATACAACAATATAAATTATATAAAGGTTTTAAATCAATTGATATGAAGAAAGTCCAGATACAAATGCATTCAATCAATACACCTGGTCCAGCATCCAATATTAGAGGTTATAAACATTGTGTTAAATCAGAGCTTGTTAAAAATTATTTAAGTAGACAACACTTCTTTACAAACAGGGTTGTCTTTGGATGGAATTTACCGGAATTGTCTTTACCGGAATCAGTAGAGGAGTCTACATCAGTCTAAGAGGTTAAATCCAGACTTAAGCTGATTGACTTGCAGATAATATTGAACAAGAAAACAGGTTGCAGTTAAATTTTTAGACAACGATTGTGTTGGCTGTCATAGATAATGCCTAGCGCTCTATCTCAACAGCATTTGAATGATTATATTATAATATTATATTATATTATATATTTACTATCCTTTTTAAGATCTTTATTTCAATATCAAGTTTTATGTATTTGGATTAAAATTAAAAAAAAAAATGACATTTAGGTTAAGAAAAACTCAAAGTTTGGTTACAGCTCATTCAATAAATCCATATATCAAAAATTTGTTATTTAAAACAACATAACTTTGTGTAAAATTTTGTTTGATTTTAATAAATTTTGCCTTTATTGAAGCTCTGTCCAATGTATAACTATCTCGTATTTGATTAATTTAAAAATATGTTACATACCTAACATTAGCATATGTAATGAAAATCTAAAAATTTGTTTGTTAAAATTTGAGTTAAGTAACAAAAATAATTCTAAAATTGATACCTTTTTTTATGTTTTCTAATTGAAATTTTAACAAACAAATTTGTATGATTGTATAGAGTTTTATTGAATCATTCATACAAGCATTAACTAATCATTTTGTTTAAAATTTATATTATATATTTTATAATTAAATTTTTTATTTTTCAAACTATTTACCAACATTAAAAATATTAACAAATTATTTTAAAGCAAACAAAATTTTATAAAGTTTACCTGCGTAGGTTTTGCTAGAAGCTTTTTTGGGTTCTTTAAAATTTGTTCCCTTGGATAATTAGTTATAATGTCTACTGCTGCCATCTTGATTGGCTGTGGCTTTTAATATTTTCTTTATAATAAGTTACTTGCACACACTATAAGTAAAACTAATTAATTGATGCTATTCATTTAATAGACAATAAAAGCAAAAAAACAGAAACAACCAAATCAATATTTTGATGCTAAATTAATGCTAACTTATCAAGAAAATTCATTACAGAAATGTTTGTCATACATTTAGAACAAAAAAAATAAATAAAATTAATTAAAAAAATATTTTTTAATTATTTATATTTCTCCTAGGTTTCAGTCAAGGAGGCTTTAAAACAGAAATTTTAATAAACAAGACTATTGCACTGAGAAACAGGGCGAGACATAGGATGGATTTGAAATTTTTGATTGTGAGCCAAGTGTTCTACCACTAGTCTACTACCACATTTAATTAAATATTTTAGCTATTATTAGTAATTTAAAAAAATAAATAACTTATCACTATCATCCATTTAAATGATTTTAACAATTGTCAAAGTAACCAACACAGCTACACAGAGAGGTTAGAGAACTGAATTTTTCAATCACAGACAACATGTAAAAATAATTAAATTTTAAACTAAATTTTTTATTTTACTAGTTCTTTAAAATGATTAATGAAGTAATAATAAAATTGTTGACATAATTAATAATAATTTGACAATTTAAGATATTTTTTTAAAACAACAAATATTGTATTGCAATACCAAAAATCCTAAACAAGAATAATTAAAATCACAACTAGGTAGTATACTACCTTGAGTACTAGTATAACATCTAACAAATAGTTTAAAAGAAGTGATTCATTCAACTATTTTTTAAATTAACATGAGATACAAAAAAGCTTGACTAAAAAACATTTAAATTAATATTTAGCAACGGGTGTATACGAATACTGCACCGGACCACACCGACTACACCGGACCACACCGGAGTGTAAAGAACAATCTTTGTAGAGCGAAATATGCATAAGTAACATTCGTAATATATAAATGCAATAAAAATTTACAAAAAAAAAAAAAATTGAATAATTTAAATTTTTATAACAGTTTTAATTGTGTACCTACAAGTTAAAATATGTATTTTAGTCAGAATTTTATCGCATTCGTGTATTTCATTCACGCGCGCGCACCCCTACTATATATTAATGTTTTTAATTTTTTTGAAAAAAGATTTAATTTTCTTAAATATGTGTTTTGATTTAAGCAGAGCGGTAGGTTTTTTAACAAGATTAATAAGTTATTCTTTTAGACTGCTTGCCCTAACCAAAAACCCTTTGCACCTGCATGTACACTCCACTTCGCCTGTACCTATTTTAGTCAGTCGATGTATGGACACTCCACTGCGCCTCTCCCTATTTTATTCAGTCGATGTATGCATACTCTACTGCGGCAGTCCCTATTTTAGTCAGTCGAAGTATGAATCACAGTTCCTGTTGCTATTTTTAATTTAAATTTAGTTTTTTTTTTTTAATTTTTTATTGTATATATGTATCACAAATACAACTTACGTATGTTTCGCTAAACCAAAATTGTTTTTTATACTCCAGTAAGATCCGGTGTTGGTCCGGTGTGGTCTGGTGTGATCCGTTGTTGTCCGGTGTGGTTCGGCATAGTATTCGTATACACCGTTTAGCAACACATTTTACACAGATTAGTGAAATTGGAGAATTTCAAGATCTAGTTGTATTGAATTTTTAAATTTTAAAAATAGCAATTCTAGAGAAGAATCAAAAATGTATTTACTGAATTAAGTTGACAGTTTACGATTAAATTATGTAAGAATACCATCAAAATTGCCACAACTGGTATAATTTCTATTATATATATATATATATATATATATATATATATATATATATATATATATATATATATATATATATATATATATATATATATATAATATATAGATTTTTTTTTTTTTTTTTGCGCTGTGATATACTTTATTAAAAAAATATTTTTAAATACTAATTTCACTTTGGTAATCGTAAATATCAAAATATCAATTTAACTTTGAATATAGAACGTTTCTTCTAACGAAAAAAAAAATGGCGAACTTCATTGACGATTGTGCCTCTCCACTTCGAAACCCGTGTCGTCGGCCATGTGGTTGTCCAGTGCAACATTGAATATATATAGGTCCACTGTGCAACATTGAACATTTTTCCGAACCTTTGTTCTTTTCCTCCCAGCAATTCTGGAAAATTGGTTCAATCTTATAGGCTAATGATTATTTATGCTAAAACTTATAACAATCCAAATAATAAATCAAAAATTTTAGAACTAATTTAGGGCAATTTAATCAAACCTCGCCTACATCCGCTTTCAAATTGCTGCCGACAGGCTGTTTATAGACTTACACATCTGCATTATGCATCGTTAGATTGCATAATCTTTCAGCTACAAAACTACGCAAACTGTTCTAACTTTTGTATAACGTTAACATTAAAAACTGTACAGGGTTTTCAAAAGCACTGAACCTCGCCCACTTGTGACAATCTCGCCGCGTCCAATATGCGACATTATATACATGAGTGTGAAGGCATTTCAACAACAGGTATTTGGTTCTGGATAGCTATATAAATTAGTTTAAGAAAGTTGCGAAAACTGTGCCCATCCAGAATTAACAACGGGGACTTTGTGCGCTAAATTTTTCCAAAAATACCTTGGTAAACCATAGCTTTTTTTATTTTTTTAGCTGTTTATATAATAAAAAAGTCTAATTACAAAGAAACATTTACATTTAAAAAAGTGGATTTATATAAAACATCTTTTCATAAAGCCCCTTTGTGGGCTTTACAAGTTAAAAATGAAATAAAACTGTTATACCTTTAGCTAGACCCTATTTATTCTTTTGGACAAACTCTAATTTGTTTCTGGTGGTACAGACTCTGTGTTAAAACCCATTAAAGACCTGGATGTATTTGCTTCACTATCACCTGATGTGAAATGAACTTGCTTTGTAAATTTACACAGGCAATCGCAGTGGAGGAAATTGAGAATTTGTGTGCCTTTTAGTGCAATTACTTTTCTCGTTTTTACGTCACGTTGATGACCAGTTTTATCCATATTCCATATGAGTTCTGGTTTACCTTGCAAACCATTTTCCACCATGACATCATTCAAGACACTAAACATTTTTGACACATTTACTTTATCTATGCACTGATGCTGTATGAGGTTGTACTCTCAGGTTGTTAGCCCTCAGCAAATGCTAGAGTAATTTTTTTCCTGACTTTGCTCCAATAGCAATTTTTCCAGAGATTTTCTAAAGAGATTGTACTCATCATATTTTCTTGGCTCTATTTCATGATTTTGCCCCGTTTTTTAACAAAGACTGACTGATCAATTGAATGATTTGAATTATTAATACGAGTTGAAGAAATGTTATGTGTTTCATGTAGGCATTTAAATAAAATGTTAGCTGTTTCATTTGACAAATGTTATGAGCTGAAGGAGTTCTACTATCATAAGGATAAGTTATTTTATAACTTTTTGAAACCTCTGTTGGAGAAGCAGTCTTTACAAGAGACTCTCTGTATAATCGCGGTAAAAATCTACATCTCCCTCCCCCTCTTATTTTAACTATGTTGTTTTTCAAGAAAGAACCTAGATAAATAATATTATAGTATAAAATAAAATCTTCAAAATTTACAAGATCTACAAATATTAAGATATGGTGAAAATTACTAGTTAATATTTGTAACCCTAATCTAAGGCCTATACGTAACCCTAACATACTGGGGTAACGTATAGGACCTGGAAGTTACACGGTGAAAACACTTCGTGGATGGTTCCAAGTAAGTTTCAGGTTAATCTCTGCAATATGAGTTTATATAACATACTACATCTGTTCTTGCCTACCCAAACCATGTTGGGTGCATATGGCAAGAATATATTCATTTTGTCAGCGAGATTGAGTTAATTTGGGTGAGTTGGGCAGAAAACAATTTTAAACATAATCTAATATTTTAGATGAATGTAAACTTTATTACACATACGTCATTTACACAGACTTTAAATCAAGCATTGCCATCCTCAAGCTAGTCCAACATTGAGCAACAAAAACTATATCAACAGTCAACAACTTAAACAGTCGTTCTATGAAAATTGGCTTGGCCTAACAGCACTTAAAGAAGCCAAAAATAAGATGACGTTATCAAGCAATTCAAAATCATGCATCAACTCAAACTTATTGACTTCTTCGTTCCGCAAAAACATTTAAATAGAAAATTTTCTAATTAGTTGTTTAGGCGCTCCAAAAAGTCCGAACGGTTTTATCACAGAGTAACGTGTAGTAGGAAGACCACGCCGCACAGTGAGTCAGAAAGGTGAAAAAACGGCAAAAATTAAATAACTATCATATATAAACGTGTGATATATCAATACTATCGTATTTAGGGTCAAAAAATTTAAATTTGTTATTGAAAATATTTTTTACGCGTACCTATGACGCGTACAACGCAAGCTGTCATTTACGCGCGCAAAATATGATTTAAATAAATCGCATTCCTTGATCCAAAATACCATATAAAAAAATACCACATATTTTTTAATGTAAATTTTTCTTGTGCTTAAGGGTTGTACACACGTATAAGACTCTAACACGTATACACGCGTATACGTGTTATAGTCTTTTACGCGCACAAAGACTTAATTTAAAAGAATTAAATTCTTCAAACCAAAACATATACTTATTAAAAAGAAAAATTGGATTCAAAAAATCTTTTAATATTATAATAATATTAATATGAACAGTTGGGGGAATCATATACCAATCATATACCTGACACTCCCGTTATATCAGCGAAAGTTTCAGCATTTTCAAATGATGCTTTTTCAGCGGGAGATTTGGCAAAGTATTTTTTAATGTTTAACTTATATCCTAAATGTAAAATATATTCAAAAGATCTGAGCCAGCAATGCAGAGTAGAAAGACCTAAAGATAAAACTTTTTCATTCATTGGTTTAGATCTGATCAATTCTGGGCTATTAAGTTCACTGGGCTTAGATCCGCAAATATTACATGATTGGGAGGACAGAGTGTTAGTGAGGGCATTAAC